TGAGTGCTACCAAGGGCTACCTGAGGTTAATGGGTGTAAAGAGTATCCAGCATATGCACCGCAGAGGGTCTGAGGCAATTGGGAAGATATCAGATGTGCCCGAAGATGAAGATCTAAGCATCCAGGTCATAGAGCACATCCAGAAGCTTGCATTGCCCGAGGCTTTAGTTCAGCAGGATTTGGAATAACTGCCGGTATATGAAAAATGGCACTCAGTACCAGATGTGGCAAAAGGGGGAAGTAGATCCAAACTATGCTGCTTGGTTTGAGAAAGGTCTAGTATAAACAACGAGCCGAAGCCCGAGCCCGAGAGGCCTGCCAAAAGACCTTATGTTCAAGCTTTTGACGACAAAATCAAGAAAGGTTGGCATGGGGGAAAAAAAAGAAAAGACATATCAAGCCGAGATTCATGCCTTGAAAGAGAAGCTGAGAAACATGGAATTTGACAATGATCTCCAAGCACAAGGCCGAAGGCGAAAAGAAAAAAGTTAGCCAAGGAAAATGATGCCCTTATCTAGCCCAAATTCAGGAAATGAAAATGGCCCGAAACCCCGCTAGAAGTGCAAAAGATGAAAAGCTTATAGCTAATCTTAGACAGAAAGTGGGGGAAATATGGTTTGATCTGAACAAGGCGAAGTGCGAACTGGCAAAGAGCTCGAACAAAAATTGGCCAGAATGCGGCAGGAGCGAGCACGCTTGGTTAAACAGTTAAAAGAGAAATATGACAGTGAGGTTGTAGGGTTGAAGAAAAATCACCGTCCTTGAGAACAAAATGATTAAGCAGGAAAAGACTTTAATGCAGAAAGAGAACACTGTTTATGCAGCAATGGCACAGTTAGAAAGAGATTTGCAACAACTTCAGGAACAGAATCATGTAGCTGAGCAAACTTTGGAAGCTAGGGCCCGACAGATGGGCGTTTGTTGCAAGAAAGGGCATCATAAGAGAAAGGGTCAGAAGAATCGCCGACTACATCGCGATAAATTGCAAGTAGTTGTGAGGACAAGACTAGATCCATGTTCTTTGCCACTTATAATGACCTTTGTCCCGCCAGATAATGGAAGATCTCTATTCATCTCAAAGGAATTTGGCGCGTAGGCCCGTGGCGAGACCAAATGAATGTCCCGTGGGCCCCAAGAGCTGTTGAGGATTGATGTATTCTGATTTCCGTTGGAGTCTGTGTTCTGTTTTCGAGTCTGTATTTTTCATCTTTCTGTTAGTCTGTTTTGAGTCTGTACCTTTCTATCGGAGTCTGTCAAGTCTGTTAGTTTTTGTGGGTAAAATTAGGTAGGATGGAGTCGTTGTAATCAAAACGTTTTATTTCTATGAAATTTTTTGAAAATTCCCAAAATGTTTTATTATTTATTTTTTCACTCATCCCCAGAACTACGCTCGGTCTGATTCATGCGGGGTCATGATACGTAGGCAATCTCCATAGGATTCGACCATAACCAAAAGAAGAAAAAAAAAAGAGAAAAAAAAAGGAAAAAGAGAGGAAAAAAAAAGAGAGAAAAGAAAAAAGAAAAGAAAAAGTGAGAGAGGAAATAAGAAACGATAGGAAGGGAATTGTGGCAAAACAAGAGAGAGAAGTCAAGCAAAGAAAGGCGTAAGTGAAAAAGAAGAGAAGAGAAGTGGCGAATGAAAATTAGGAAAAGCGAGATGACGCAAGCAACCGATCAAATGCATGATGAGAAATGGTTAACTGCTTAGGTGCATTACATTCCCCAATGTTGCGGTTGCCTATCTGTTAAGCTCTAATCACTACCAAGTTTGTTGTTGACATATCAGTACAGAAAGGTGGTTGGTTTGTGGTTCCCGAAGTAGTAACTCCTCTCCACAACATAAAGCAAAAGGCGATGGCGGACAACAACCCAAAAATTGTGGTTGGTTGATACCGGTGCCCGAAATCAGTTGCGTTGAACGGGAGACTAGTCTGGCTATGAGGTAAGGATGTTAAGACAACACACGATGGACATGTATCAAGCCTGGATGACTGGGAGGCACCACCCCCGCCACCACCTAGCTCTAAATGCTACCCTTACCCAAACTCCGGTCATAGTGCCGGATGATCCCCATACTCTCCAGATCCACCCGTTTATCACAACTTTTCCCAACCACCTAGTAGCTCCATCACTCTTCTTCCAATTACCTCTCCCCAAAATTCCCTCCTGTCATATCCACTATCCCTAACAGTGAACACCCACTCAAAGCCCATGATGTTCAATATTACTCCTCAGAGTTGCCCACAAGGTTCTTGACTCATCAATCAGAGCCTTCGGAATGAGCCTCATGTTGAAAAATGAAAAAGTTCACAGGAAAAGAAGGGGTGGACGAGACACCCAGGAGGCTGAAAGGCATAGAACAATCCTTAAAGAAACAAGCAAGGAAATGGGGAGACCAGGGGTAGCATGATTACAAAGAACTGCCTGTGTCCCCTGAGTCTGCCTGCGCCACCCGCGGGATTTAAAGTGCCAAAATTGAACTTGTATGATGGGTGTGGAGATCCGGTAGCCCACCTGAGGGTTATTTATTGCAGTTGAAATGAGAAGTGTTGGAGAGAAAGATGACTTGTTGATGGCCTATTTCAGTAAGAGCTTGACTGGGGCAGCTTTGGAGAGAAAGATGACTTGTTGATGGCCTATTTCAGTAAGAACTTGTCGGGAAGTGGCATACATCGGGCGACATGGCTCAAGATTTTGTGCGACACTTTCAGTACAATATAGACATTGTCCCAGACCGCTCCTCCCTATCTCATATGGAAAAGAAACCCAAGGAAAGTTTTAGGGATTTTTGGCTCAGATGGAATGAACAAGTTGCTCGGATAGCCCTCCCATTGATAGAAAAGATATTGCTGAGCCCCGCCGACAACATGGTCTAGTGGTCGTTCTTGCTAAATGCTTTCAGCCTCAATATCGACCTCTTGGATATCCTTGTAATCCTCCCCACTGCTACTTCTCTCCACAAAACCCCCAAAATGCGTACATCACTTCCCCGATACCCCGGCCCACAATGCACCATTCATATGGTCCACTCCCCGAGGCCCGCGATGGCCCGCACCACTTCCACAAACGTCTCACTCGCCCCCTCAGGCATATCAACCACTTGCCCGCAAAAGGTCCAACCGAGACCAGAGTAAAAATGAAAAGGACTACTGAAAAAAGAAAATGCTTTCACGCCCATCGGAGAATTCTATACAAGCTTGTTTGAAAAGTTAAAGCATTCTGGCCTGATTGGGCCGCTCCTCGGCTATACTACAGACCCATATGCCAAAAGGCTTTGATCCCGCTGTGCGATGCATGTACCACTCTAATGTCCAAGGTCATAGCACTGAAGATTGTCGCTCTTTGAAAAGGGAAATAGAAAAGTATTGATTCAAAAAGGGTAATTGTGATCAATGACAGTGACAGGGAGCATGCGAATCCTCCTGGGAACATGTTGACTAAATTTGATAATATTGAAGTTGGTAATGGTCTTGGTAATATTGATGCGGAACTCAGTGGCTAAGATGCCGAGCTTGGTAATTGGAAAGACGCTCCTTTCTTTGGGCTAGCCGGAAGGAGTTTGGTGTGTTTATTGTGTTGTCATTTCTGTTGTCCGGGTTATTTCAGGGTTGTAATCCGGATAGTGTCTTGTGGCTCAAACCCTTTTATCCTTTTATTTTGCCTAGTTTGTTTAGTTGTAGTAACTCGTTTAGTGTTGTCTAGGTTTGTTCCACGTTTGTGACCCCAGTTTAGTTTGCTTGTTTTGTTGTTCAAACCCTTTCACCATCTGTCTAATGCAATTTTCTGTTTTCTGTTATATCTAGTCAGTTGTTTAGTTCTTTTTTCTTTATAGTCCTTCCTGTTGACCTAGTGACATGACATGCACGCGTATTCTCAGCCTGGTCTTAAAAAGTCAGTTTAGTCATGAAGCAATGAAACAATTTGGAAGATGATATGGACATTTGAGGGAAATAAGTAAAGGCATTTTGAGATCACTTCAAGCCCGAATTGTGTGAAACTGGGGTAGATAGAACATAAAGAAACCCTATTGAAATGCATCATGCCGCATCGGGTTGAAGCTAAAGGAAAGTTTGCCCAAATTGACAGGGGCCGTTTGTGGTAATGAGAGTAAGAGTGTTGTCCAATGGTGCTTTGTATTTAACAGATGCAGAAGGCAAATGTGTAGAAATGGCTGGCAATTCTGATGCAGTCAAAAGATATTATGTATGATTTCTTTGGTTTAAATTTTGTTTGTTTGTACTTGGCATGTTTTGAAGATTGGAATGACGAAGGCATTTTGTTCTGCTATCTAAACACTTTATCCTTTATTACCCCTTTTGAGCCTTATTTATTTCCTTTCATACCCCTCTTTTGGAATCAGTAGCGAAATTCAGCAAAGCAGTAAAGAATAAAAGAGAAGAGAAAAGAAAAGGAAAGAAGAAAAGAATGAAAAGAAAGAAAAAGAGACAAAAAAACGGAAAAGAAAGAAGAAAAAAAAAGAAAGAAAAAAAAAGAAAAAAAAGGGAAAGAAAAGAAAAAAGAGAAGTAACAACCACAAAACAATTCCTATGACATGAACTACGTTCGACCTGATTCCTTTTAAGAATACGTAGGCAGCCTCACGGTCGGTCCCATCAAAATAAAATTTCAAAAGTCCTCAAGCAAAGAAACTGGGGCAGAAGTTGTGGCTATGTAAAAGATCTGATTCCGAAAGTTGTAATCTTGAACCCATTTGATTTGTTTTGAGCCTTTTGATACCCTTTCTTTCTAACCCCATCCAAAAGCCCACATTACGGTCCAAAGAAAGACCTTCCGATCAGTCTTTGAGAGATGCCAAGTCGAGCAAGTTCATATCAGGGGCAACACTCCGGTCCAAACAAGGAAAATGGAAATGAGAGAGTCTTATTGGTGAAAACCCTCACGGGCACCGTAAGGCGATGAAAGCTGAGAGAAATCAGAAATGAGAGAGTCTTATTGGTGAGAACCTTCACAAGTACCTTGAGGCGACTGTAAGTTGAGAGAAAGAACCAAATGAGAGAGGCTTGATGGTGAAAACCCTTCGAGCACTACAAGTCGAATAAGGATTGTGAATAAAAGTGGATAATCGGAGTATTGAAGCCCAGTTTCACGGTTTAAGGGTACAACAAGAGTTGAACATCAGACTTGCTTGACAGAATAGGCCACAGGTGCATGTCATGGTCATTAGAGTCGGTATCCACATCTGTTAGGTTTCTACTTTGTAGTTTTCTTGTTAGGAATCATCTCTCTCCTTTGTCCTTTACTTTGTTCCTTTTGTCTTATTTACTTCCTCTTCCTGAGTCTGTTTGGTCGGAACAAGTGAGAAATGACTTCAAAATTTGCCACCAACTTTCCAATTGCACAAAACGGGATCTGGCTAGCACATCAAAGTGGCATAAGTCAGGAAAGAACAACAAGCGCACTGAGCTGGTAACAATCAACATGCTTTGGGATCCTTGTGAAATATAAAGGTTTGGTACCTATCAATTCATGAACAATGCAACAGATAGAGGGTGTTGGGTTTGAACAGATCAAGGGTATTTTCTGTGATAAGATTGACGAAGAAAGTAGTTAACCAGTGACAAGCAAGGTCTTCCAAGCAGAAATCAAAGTTATCATGGCAAGTGAAGGAGCAACAGACCTCAAGGCCAAGGCCAATGGTTTAAGTCAAGAAAGAACAGCATACACACGGAGTGGGTGGCAATTGACATGCTTTGGGATTCATGTGAGACACAAAGGCTTGGTAAATATCAGGTCATGAGCAATGCAACAGATAGGGGGTATTGGGTCTGAATGGAGAAGAGGTATTTTCTGTGATAAGGATGATAGAGAAAGTGGTTAGTCAGTAAACTAGCAAGGTCTTCGAGTGGAAATCAAAGTGATCATGGGAAGTGAAGGAGCACTCGTCCTCAAAGTCAAGGCCACAAACCAACCACCATATTTTTAAACTGACAAGATTTTTCTTTGATTGAAAAAGGGGCAGAAAGTTTCTTTTGTTTCGGAGAAACCCTCCGTAAGGAAAGGCAAGCACCAGACAGGTTTGACTTTTGATTCTCAGGACCCTCCTGGAAAATGGGACATAGTTTAAAATTCAAAACAATCATGAGTAGCAAAATCTAGCATAAATGTACCCCAAAGGAATATAAATGGGCTTCAAAGTTTGCACGCTTGAGATAGGATTCAATCGGGAGTTTTCAGGGCCCTCCTGAATAATGGGACCTAGCTTTAAGATTTCCATTAGATAACAAGATTTAGCGTAAGTTCTGTTGTAGGATAGTATAATTCAGCCGTAAGGAATTGTCACTCTTAAGATAAACTTGACTTTTGATCTTCAGGGCCCTCCTGGATAACGGGATGTAGTTTTAAGACTTTCTTAGATAACAAGATTTAGCGGAAGTCACACCTTTAGAAAATATAATTTAGCTTTAAAACTGTCATTGGGATCTAGCTTTCAAATTCTTAGTTATATTTGGTAACATGATGCAGTTAACACTCACAGATGCGCCCAGCTACCAAACTGGGGCAGAAAATTCTCTTTGTTTTGTCTATTTTGTTGAAATCAGGCACCCACCTGGAGAACAAGGGAATACAATTCGAGTTTGGTAATCAGGCACCCACCTGGAGAACAAGGGAGTACAATTCAAGTTTTGGTAATCAGGCACCCACCTGGAGAACAAGGGAATACAATTCAAGTTTTTGGCAATCAGGCGCCCACCTGGAGAGCATGGGAATACATTTCAAGTTTTGGTAATCAGGCGCCCACCTGGAGAACAAGGGAATACAGTTCAAGTTTTTGGCAGTCAGGCGCCCACCTGGAGAACAAGGGAATATAGTTCAAATTTGTGGCAATCAGGCGCCCACCTGGAGAACAAGGGAATACAATTCAAATTTTTGGCAATCAGGCGCCCACCTGGAGAACAAGGGAATGCATCTCAAGCTTTGACAGTCAGGCGCCCACCTGGAGAACAAGGGAATAGAGTTCAAATTTTTGGCAATCAGGCGCCCACCTGAAGAAAAGGGAAAGCATCTCAGGTTACAATTCAAGTCGGCAACAAAGGAACTCCACTTGGAAAATACAAGTCAACAAGGCAACAGGAACTGCAAGATCAAGTTTGAAGATATAGATAGGACTCTTGTAATTCATAGATCATAGTTTAGTCTAGCTTATTTTGTCATGGTGTAACAAGGAGGTCAGTAAGCAGTAGCAGCAGCAGCAACAACAGTGAAATCACAGCTTCATGGTAGTCCCAGCTACCGAAACTTCCCGAACTACACTGACCTGATTCCTTTATAGCCAAGCATATGTAGGCAACCTCGGAAGCAGGGTGTGGTCAAATCTTTCAAAAAATGCTTCCCACGGAGTATTCAAACGGGTAAAAATCGCTCGTATCCGCTCACTTTATCTTTGCACGAAAACTCTTCGTGTTTCCAAGCAAAGAGGGGCAGCTGTGAGCACGTGATTTTTGCCCTATATGAATTACTCCCACAAATTCAAAACAAAATAAATTTTCCCATTATTTGCAATTTTGTAGCATTTTTTCGTTAAATGTTTGCATTTGTCTGCGCATGTTAATTTTGTTTAATTCATGAAAAATACAAAAATATGTTGCATTTGCATTTAGGATTTAATTTTACATTTTTTTGGATCAATTAGTAAATTAGTTTGTTTTATAAGAAATGGAATGTGACGACCCAAAGGGGTCATCACCGGATTTCTCTCTTTTCCGTGCTTTCGAGGCCTTGAAAATCTTATTTTTGCTTGCCTCGATTTGCGTGCGCAGTCCGGGCGCGTAGCCGGAAAGCTTATATGTTAAATTCTGTGAAAAATTTCAAAATGTGGCTTTAAAATGATTAAAGTTGACTTTGGTCAACATTTTTGGTAAACGGACCCGGACCCGTGATTTGACGGTCCCGGAGGGTCCGTAGAAAAATATGAGACTCGGGCATATGCCAGGAGTCAAATTTCGAGGTCGAGAGCCGGAGAAATGAATTTTTCTGTGAAATTGTTTTTCCGAAATTATTAAGGAAAATGGAAATGAAAATTGATTAAAAGACTATGGTATCGGGCTCGTATTTTGGTTCCGACGCCCGGTACAAGTCCTAAATATGAGTTAAGCGCTTTCTGTAAAGTTTGGTCGAAATCGGACATCATTTGACGTGTTTCGGACCTAAATATCTAAAATTTGAAGTTATGAACTTGAAATGAAAAATGATGATTTTGAGGTTAGATTCATTAATTTTGATGTTATTTAGGCGATTTGATCGCTCGACTAAGTTCGTAGGATGTCATTGAGTTAGTTTGTGTGTTTGGTTGGGAGCCCCGAGGGCTCGGGAGTGATTCAGAGGTGGTTCGGGGTAGTTTTACACTTAGAAAACACATCAGATTTTTCATGTTGTTGCAGACCAGATTTTTGTTCTTCGCGAACGCATCCCCCCCCCCCCTTCGCGTTCGCATAGCTCTGACATTTCTCCTTCCGCGTTCGCGTCCCTCCATCGCGTTCGCATAGCTTTATACCCCTCTTCAACGCGTTCGCATACCTCCCCTCGCGAATGCGTAGGCCTAACCTGGACCCCCCCCCCCCCAGTTTCCTTCTATGCGTTCGCATAGCACCATCGCGAACGCGTAGAGCATCAAACCAGCCCTCCTTCGCGAACGCGAGACTGAGTCGCGAACGCATAGAACAAAAAGGCTTCAGTGATTTTTTTTAAAACAGAACATTTCATTACGGGAATTCTTCACTTCTTCTCACGAGCTCTCTTCTCCATCAAGCCTTAGGACTCCATTGAAGCTCCCCTCTTCCAAGACTTTTTGGATAAGTAATTCCCCACCTAATTCCTTCATTTTTCTTCACTAATTAGTGAATTTCTAGGCCTAAAAAACATGAAATCAAAGTAGAAATTAGGGGTTTTGGGTAGAGTTAGGGTTTTGAGAATTTTGGGTGATTCAACCTCAATTTGGGGTCGAATCTTAAAACAAATTATATATTTGAACTCGTGGGGTTATGGGTGATTGGGTTTTGGTTCGAGCCTCGTGTTTGGACCATGTGGGACCGGTGTCGAATTTTGGTGTTTTTGGAAGAATGATAGGAATTTCATTTCTAGGCTATGGGATTTTGTTTTTGAGTCTTTATTGATATTATTGAATTGATTATGCCTAGATATCGTTGTTTCGGAGTCGGATTGTAGAGGAAAGNTTCGCGAACGCGGCCCCTTTCCTGCGAACGCGAAGGGCAATTTTGCCCAGCGAATTTTTAAGTTCAAAACAGTAGCCATTGCGGGCTTATTCCCAAATTTCACACGAGCTCTTCTTCCCCACACCCCATAAGCGATTTTTAGAGCTATTCTTCACCAAAGCATCTTGGGTAAGTATCATCTAACTTGTTTTCTTCAATTTCCTCTAGTAATTACTAAATTCCTAGCCCTAAATCATGAAATCAAAGTAGAAATTAGGGATTTTGGGTAGAGTTAGGGTTTTGAGAATTTTGGGTGATTCAACCTCAATTTGGGGTCGAATCTTAAAACAAATTATATATTTGAACTCGTGGGGTTATGGGTGATTGGGTTTGGGTCCGAGCCTCGTGTTTGGACCATGTGGGACCGGTGTTGAATTTTGGTATGTTTGGAAGAATGCTAGGGACTTCATTTCTAGGCTATGGGATTTTGTTCTGGAGTCTTTATTGATATTATTGAATTGATTATGCCTAGATATCGTTGTTTCGGAGTCGGATTGTAGAGGAAAGGCGGTATTGGAGAGTTGATTGCTATTCTTGGACCGAGGTAAGTGTTTGATCTAACTTTGGTTAGAGGGAATAGGATTAGGATATTATTTTCTAATTGCTAAATGAAGAGTACGGTGTATAGGCATGGTGACGGTTATCTATACACCGGAGTCTAGCATGATCGTGGGTCTTAAATGTGTTTGAAACGGACTTTGTGAAACATTCTTTCTTGTCTAACTGCTAAGTTTCCTATAATGTGAAGGGTTGAGGAGGAATTGCGATTGGTATATTGTTGG